TTCTTCTGTGGGGAGGGGAAGGGGAAAGGAGTTTGTTAGCCTCCCTGAGACTCCCTTGGGTAGTGAAGGGCGGGGTATAAAACCAATCTCTTCTTCTTCTTTTACCTCACAGGGTGTCTGTTGTGGGGAGGGGAAGGGAAAGGAGATTGTAGGCTACTCTGAGACACCTTTGGGTAGTGAAGGGCGGGGTATGAATCCAATCTCTTCTTCTTTTACCTCACAGGGTGTCTGTTGTGGGGAGGGGAAGGGAAAGGAGATTGTAGGCTACTCTGAGACACCTTTGGGTAGTGAAGGGAGGGGTATAAATCCAATCTCTTCTTCTTCTTTTACCTCACAGGGTGTCTGTTGTGGGGAGGGGAAGGGGAAAGGAGTTTGTGAGCCGCTCTGAGACACCTTTGGGTAGTGAAGGGCGGGGTATGAATCCAATCTCTTCTTCTTTTACCTCCCTGGGTGTCTGTTGTGGGGAGGGGAAGGGAAAGGAATTTGTGAGCCGCTCTGAGACACCTTTGGGTAGTGAAGGGAGGGGTATAAATCCAATCTCTTCTTCTTCTTCTGCATGCCAAGCTGATGCTCTGCCACTGAGCCACCACGGGAGACGCACATTGATTCAGGGAATGACCTCTGTACAGTTTTAAAAAACAGCTCTGAAAGCGAGGGGAACTCCATGGCGACAAAACGGAGCTTATTTAAAGAGGGGGGGGGGGACTAGTTGTTTTTAAAACGCAAACGTTGCGGTAAATCATAACAAGCCAGCTGAAAAGGAATCTGCCAGCCTAGAGAACAAATGGGATTATCAGGACTGCCTTACCTTATCCCTGCCTGGTCACGTGCCAAATGGGCTTTTGCGAAGCAGCCTACTTCTGTGGAGCCCTAGGAGTAAGCCGGATTACCACAAAATTTGAGCTGTAGAAATCGCACAGGTAAGGGCCTTACAGGCGTTGAGTTGCATGCTTGAAAACCTGCAGGCAAACATGAAGTTCAGTACCCGAGGAAGAGGAGGCGGTTTGGCCCACAATCTCGATCCCGCAGTGTTTGGAATATGCACAGGGCTAAAATGAAGGGGGGAAAGAAGTAATGCAGAAGATGGAGCTGGGGGGGGAAGAGTTAAATATAGAAGCAGGAACACGGATGGAACATCTTTGCCTCCCATCCATGGAGTTTGGGGGAGGGGGAGATGAGAAACAGGAAAGTGCTCTGGAAGGGGATGATTAAAGAATCCAGTAACGAGCCGTTCCTGGTAGCCATATGGGTCCAAAGAGAATTTAAAAAGAAAAGAAAAAAAGTCTTCTCCATCCTTTCCTTGCCCCGCATCAGTTAAGAGAGAAGGTCTGTGTCGGAGGTGGGGGTGGCAGAATGAGATGTTTTAAGCTACCGCTAGAAGCAGCTGAACTAACCTCTGTCCGGAGGAATTTCTTAAGTGCTGTGTCTTCAGGTGGTTGTTTTTGTTTTTAAATAATAATCAAATTTTAAACCACTTTTTTTGAGGAAGGCTCAGTTGGAGGTCATGTGACATAGCAAACGTGGCCTGGTTGCTGCCCAGATAGAGCCGAGCGCTTTAAGGAAGAGAAACAAATGTGTACGTGTATTTTTAATATACAAGTGGGGGACCCACAAGGACTCACGGGAGGGTCTCTCTTCACTTCCTCCACTATTTCCTCTTCCCTGTAAGCCCCCAATAGCATTCTTTTCCTACCTCCTCCTCATCCACCAGCCAACCTTCATCTCTCCTCCCCTTTCAATTTTCCCTCCTTCCTTACCCCTGGCAGCCTCTCCCTGGGAAAGGTCTGGCTGAGTACCAGCCAGCCACCAGGCAAGACTCAGTTGCACAGCAGGGAACCTCACTCTCTCTTGTAACCCCTTCCCCACCCTACTTAATCTTTTCCTCCTCCCAACAGTCCCCATATCCTCTCCCATTTTCCCCTGCAGCCTTTCTCCTCACCCACCAACCATCCTACCTTTTTATCTGCCCCCTCCACCTTCCGCTATATTTACTATTTATTTGCTTTGTCTATATCTTGCCTGTTTCCTTAATAGGGATCCAAACTGGCTAACATCATTCTCTTCTGTTTTATCCTCACAACAACCTTGTAAGGTAGGATAGGGTGAGTGTGTGACTGGCCCAAGGGGGCCCATGGCAGAGTCGAGATTTGAACCTGGGTGTCCCAGATCCTAGTCTGAAACCCTAACCACTGCACCACACCAGCTTTTGTGTGGTGGCTGACTGCTGTTGAACAGTACTAGGCAGCTGGGCTTGGGTGAGTCACAGAACTTACGTGGTATCAACTGGCCAGTGTCTGTGTGTGGTCTGGCCTCAATGAGTCCTCCCTCAAAGGCCAAAACAGTCCTGGAAAAGGGCCCTCCCCCTCCCCGACAGGAACCAAGGCTTCAACTGGCAATACTGCTATGGTTGCCAAGCAACAGCCACAGAAAGCATTTGTTTCTTAAAGCTACAGACACTGCACTATATATATCTGTTATCCCCCCGTGTATTATTTTTCAGATTTTTTTTTTTTTGCAATCTTCACACTACTCTTAATTATGCAGAAAGATCTATCTTGTCTGTGATTCCAGTCTCTGCATTTAAGTATCCACAGGTCCGGCCATCTTGAGAATTATACTGATAAATGTCTATTTCACCTTCCTATCCCCTTAAAACTCAAGGGGACGTGCCTTTTATAGCATGACCAAAGGAAATCCTTTTTAAAGACTGTAAGGTAGAATGTAAACCTTGAAAAGTCTGCAGCCGTTCCTCCCCACCCCTCCCTTCCCAAGCAGTCCTCTGCAGGGGCGGGGTGGATTCACTTTCTACTTGAGGGTGATGGGAGGCAGTTGTGAGGAGAGAGAGAGAGAAGAGATTTATACCCCACCCTTCACTACCCGAAGGAGTCTCAGAGTGGCGTATAGTCTCCTTTCCCTTCCCCTCCCCACAACAGACACCGTGAGGTAGGTGGGGCTGAGAGAGCTCTTTTGAGAACTGCCCGTGAGAGAACAGCTCTGAGAGAACTTGTGACTGACCCAAGGTCACACCAAGCAGCTGCATGTGGAGGAGTCTGTTCTTCATATGGGTCGGTGCTTAGTTCTTGTGGCCCTTTTTTACACGCCCAGGGAAATGCTGATTGCCACTTTGGGGTCAGGAAGCAATCCTGGAGGGTTTTTTGTCATCTTCTGGGCGTGGAGCAGGGGTCACTGCGGGTGTGGAGGGGGGAGGTATTTGTGAATTTCCTGCATCGTGCAGGGGGCTGGACTAGATGACCCTGGAGGTCCCTTCCAACGCTATGATTCTATGATTGGGGAATCAAACCCGGCTCTCCCAGATTAGAGTCCGTGCTCCTAACCGCTACCTCCTACCTCCATCGCCCTGGCGGATCAGTCCCAGAGAGGGGACTTAATCAAACCTCGAGTAGGGGTGAAAATAATCCTCCCAGGACCTGAGAAAGAAAACTCAAAAAACAGCCGAGTGGTAAGATTTTAAAAAATTATATTTATTGAACCCTTTGTTTTGTTTGTAATTGTAACAAAGACACAAGAAGGTTATCATCCCTGGTACAGTACAGGTGGTGCATCTAAGCCAAATGGACTGCCGAAGTCATGACAGATCAGAGCATCCAAGGGGGGATGCCAATTCTGTGGGAACGGGGGAAGGGTCACAATGTGTTTGGATCTGCAGCCTCACGACGCTGCAGGTTTCTACCTAGGCCACTGCAGTGTTTCCGTGGCTGTAGAAAAGCAGGCACACAAAAAAAAATATATGGGGGAAATTCTAGGACAATCTAGAATTCTGTTCTAAGTACAACTTTGTTCCTTAATCTCCAGCACCCTCGTCAAAGGCTGCGCACTAACGGGCCATGATTAACCCACATCGGGTCTTGCAACCGTCTTGGATTTTTAAGAAAAAGAAAAAATAAGCAACCCCACAATATCAAATGCATTTTTATAAGCGCATCTCTAAAAAGCACTGACAGGCCCAAACCTCTGTGTTTAGGCCATTAATACAGAAAAGGACAAGTCCCGTGGAAACGTCTTCAAGCTCGTAGCGCCCGTTTTGGAAAGCGTCGAGAAGAATCTGAAAGGCACAAGATGAGGAGAGTTAAGCCATGCAGGATCAGGCCAGTGGCCCATCCAGTCCAACACGCTGTGTCCCACAGTGGCCAAAACCCAGGGGCCATCAGGAGGGTCCACCAGTGGGGCCAGAGCTCTAGAAGCCCTCCCACTGTTGCCCCCCCAAGCACCAAGAAGACAGAGCATCACTGCCCAAGACACAGTGAGCCACTTATGGACCTTTGCTCCATAGGTTTATCCAATCCCCTCAATTCAAGCTTGGATCAGGTCCGTCTTGTCTTTTGGATTTTTTTTTTTAATATATGCACATGTGCATGTGTGTGTATGTGTGCCTGGAAGTCGTGGCGATGTCTGGTGACTGACCCCTACTAGAGGCCTGGAGGATATTCAGACAGGTGGCTGAATAGAGAAGAAGAAGAAGAAGGGATTGGATTTATACCCCGCGCCCTTCACTTGGGAGTCTCAGAGCGGCTTACAAACTCCTTTCCCTTCCCCTCCCCACAACAGACACCCTGTGAGGTGGGTGGGGCTGAGAGAGCTCTGACAGAAACTGCTCTTTTTCAAGGACAGCTGTGCCAGAGCTTGTGACTGACCCAAGGTCACATCAGCAGGTGCAAGTGGAGGAGTGGGGAATCAAACCCGGTTCTCCCAGATTAGAGTCCGCGCACTTAACCTCTACACCAAACTGGCTGCCCCCAAAGAGCCTGCCCCCGCCTCCTGCCTCTGGAATTCCTCTCCCGTCCAAGTCCTTGCCAGGGTCGGCCCTGTTTAGCTTCCGAGATCTGACGAGATTGGGCTTGCCCGGACTATCCAGGCCAGGGCAGATCTGCCCTTTTCAAAAGTGGCAAGAGCCTACCGGCAGCCACACAGCAGGGCTACATTCACAAACAATATCCACCAAGGGAAGACCATCTACAATTCACAGCTATGTTCAAAACTATATATTATATTCATTGAAACACAAAGAAGGGTTAGTGGTCAGGTTATAGATTTATGTATATTTATGACTGTTTCACAGTTCCGTCTTACCAGCTGCTGCTGATTTATACCTGGGCTGTTATTCTTCCCACAGTGGGAGTCTTCTGTTACCGTTACTTTCTTTTTGGAGTTCTATGGACACTCCTTATGTATGGAATTACAGAAGAGCCTACTGTTGGTTTTGAATGTGTTTCTTGTTTAAACTGTGTTTAATTGTTATGAGAAAACTGTTGGATCTGTTTACAGACTCTATTGGGTTGTGACCACTAACCCTTCTTTGTGCTTCAATGAATATAATATATAGTTTTGAACATAGCTGTGAATTGTAGATGGTCTTCCCTTGGTGGATACTGTTTGTGACTTTAATTCTACACGAAGGGTCCCCTTTGTCTTTGACACAGCAGGGCTAAGCATGTGCCGTGCATCAGGGACCCATGGCCATGGAGTTGAGACCGAACTCGCTCTCTCTAGCAGGCACCGATCCCTCCCCCCGTTCCCCATGAAGAAACCTCAAGCACTGTGCAATTCTGGTCACCACACCTTAAAAAGGATATTATAGCTTTGGAAAAAGTGCAGAAAAGGGCAACTCGAATGATAAAAGGGTTGGAACACTTTCCCTATGAGGAAAGGTTAAGGCGCTTGGGGCTCTTTAGCTTGGAGAAACGACGGCTGAGGGGTGACATGATCGAGGTTTATAAGATTATGCATGGGATAGAGCAGGTAGAGAAAGAGGTACTTTTCTCCCTTTCTCACAATACAAGAACTCGTGGGCACTCCATGAAATTGCTGAGCGGTCGGGTTAGAACGGATAAGAGGAAGTCCTTCTTCACCCAAAGAGTGATTAACACATGGAATTCACTGCCACAGGAAGCGGTGGCAGCTACAAGCATGGACGGCTTCAAAAGGGAATTAGATAAGCATATGGAGCAGAGGTCCATCAGTGGCTATTAGCCACAAGGTATAGATAGGGGCTCTGGGGCAAGTGATGCTCTGTCTTCTTGGTGCTTCGGGGGGGCAACAGTGGGAGGGCTTCTGATGTCCTGGCCCCACTGCTGGACCTCCTGATGGCCCCTGGTATTATTTGGCCACTGTGTGATACAGAGTGTTGGACTGGATGGGCCTTTGGCCTGATCCAACATTGGCTTCCCTTGTGTTCTCTTATGTTCTTACTGGGCTCAGCGACACAAGCCTGTTGGCAGACTCTGGGAGGCATCTATTAAAAACACATCACGAGTCTATAATGTCCTGTGGTTACATATTACATCCGAGCAAGCGGCAGCACAGTGCCCAATTGCAGAAAGATGTACAGGCCCAGAGCCAGAGGCCTGGAAAAGAACCACCACTTGCACAAGGGGACGCTTGGCAGATTGCGTGAGTGTGGAGTTGGCACCACATCCTCGCTCCACTTGCCAATGACTGGCCTGCTCCCCTTCCCCCCCCCCCCCGGCGGAACGCAGAACTTATTCAAAGCCATACGAATTCTCCGGCAACCTCTCTCCCCTTTTAGACAAAGATGGCGGGATGCCCCCCGTCCATCCGCCAGCGCCGCTTTGAAACACCGAAGCGGTGGACTGGCATGTCGGTAGTACGCGGTGCTAGCCCACTGCAGACAGAACACGGGTGCAAGGGTATCCGATAAAGACTGGAGTCTTCAAGGCTTAGTGTAAAAGCTATTTACAGTTTATTGACAAAAGCCTTCACCAATAATTGCACAGACTGACATAATGCTCACACAGACACCCAATATTCACAAGAAGAAAAATTACACAGTACATCACCGTACTTATACATCCATTGACCAATCAGGGCCAACGCTGAGTCATGGTAATTAGCTCTGGCATGAACCAGCCAGAACCGGTCAGAGCCAGCTCTTCAGACACTTCTAAACGGATAATCATTCTGTGAGTGAGGCTGTATGAGCAATAATATAGATTAACACCATTCTATGAATGGTTAGGCTATATAGATGGTAGTCCTTTTGAGTAAATAGAGAGAGGATGAGGCCTAAACCGGGCAGATTAGATTTTAGTAAGTACTCTGTGCATTAGAGAGCCATTGGGCTGGTTTTTGCACCATAGAGTAGTGGATAGGGTGGGAGGGGATAGAGTGAAGAGCTGCTGGACAGGACGTGATTTGGTTACGCTGTTAAGATCTTCCTGGCTGGTACTGCTGCCTGGTGTGACAGCTTGTTACCGTGGTGACTGATGGATACAGCAATGTCGGTGCAGCAGATTCCGGTGCTCTTGGGGAGGGGAAAGTTTAGCGGTGGGTCTAGGCAGAACATCAAAGGAAGAGCCCTGAGAAAAAGGATAGCTCGGTGCTCGTCCAGCCTACGACCCATCCCAAGGGAGGTCAGCAGTGGGGCTCGGAAGAACCCCTCTCCGTCATTGGTGTTTTGTAACGCCAGGTCCATTAATAACAAGACGACAGGCCTGCGGGACTGCGGCGTGGAACAGCAGGCGGACCTGGCGTGCATGACTGAGACCTGGGTGCGGGACGGGGAGACAGTTGCTCTCTCCCAATTGGCCCCGCCTGGGTTCTCGGTCGTACACCAATCACGGACTAAGGGGCGGGGGGGAGGAGTGGCGTTCGTTCGGGAGGCTTACTCCTTCAGGGCCCTCCCCCCACCGGAGATCACGGGCATAGAGTGTGTCGGCCTGGTGCTGGGGACTGAGGAGAACTTGGCTGTCTGGCTAGTGTACCGACCGCCTAACGCACCGGCTAGCAGCCTGCCGTCCCTGCTGGAGGCCGTGTCTGGCTGGGCGTTGGAGCACCCGAGGCTTTTGGTCTTGGGTGATTTCAACGTCCATGCCGATGACGCGGCCTCCAGCCG